CCACGGTAAAATTATCAAAGGCTGACTGGTCCGCGGCGATAAAAAGGTTGGGGACCACTGCCCTATACCATTTCAGACAAGTGGCTGTCCAGTCTTTTATTAAAAACTTCTAGTAATGAAGCACTTACAACTTCTGAAGGCAAGCTGTTCCACTAGTTAATTGTTCTCATTGTTATGAAGTTTCTCCTTAATCCCAAGTTGCTTTTCTCCTTGATTGATTTCCATCCATTGTTTCTTGTCTTGCCTTCTGGTGTTTTGGAAAATAAGTTGACCCCTATTCTTTATGGCAGCCCTTCATATACTGGAATACTGCTATCATGTAAAACCTAGTGGTCCTTTTCTCTAGACTAGTCATACTTAATTCATGCAAATATGAATTAAGGCCTTCAACCTCCTCTTTGGACTTTTTCCAAAGTCTCAACATCTTTTTTGTAATGTAGTGATCAAAACCAGATGTGTGACCGTACATGTGTGACCTTACTAAGGATATGTAAAGTAGTACTAATACTTCACAAGATTTTGATTCTATGCTTCTTTTTATACAACCAATGACTGGAATAGCTTTTTTTGGCTGCTGTTACACATGGATGGCTCATGTTTAAGTGATCATCCATTAATGATGGTAAGACCCCTTGGCAATGGCTGGCACACCTCTACATACCATTGCTGCTAGATATATTCACAGAGTTTGTTAGTGGGAATCCAGTTTCTAAGCAAAAGAGAAGTTCATCTGCTATTAAAGTAGAAATGGCTTTGTAGAAGGAGAGAAGTTTGATACTTACAGCAGATGATGGCACTTGGTTGGACAGCATGGATTTTGGGGTAGATCTTAAAGACTGATTAATAGTTAGGTTATCAAGAATAGTGAGACTCCTCTTTTTTAATGGCAAGTAACTGTATTTAACTGTAAAGGCAATTACAGGTGTCTTGGGAATTTATTATTTCCATGATCACCACATATTTTCTCAATTCATGATGGGCTGTACTCACAAGGAGAACACTCTTCACTTGGAGTTTATCTTACAACAGCTAAGATGTGTATACAATAGGCTGGAACTAATTAGTCATGTATAAAACAGTTCAATTATATTGCATAATTATAAGTAAGATAAATTTTGTATAGAAATGCATTAACTCCAAAAACATTATAACAGATATAAAATGAAGAAGAGAGAGGAATCTCCATTGTTCTTACTATGTATTTTGGTCTAAGCTCACACTAAGAGAATGAGTGCAAGTGTATTGACTTTAAAGTAGCATCAATTTATGAGCCTGTGACTGCCTGAATTTCTGAAAGGAAAATCAGAGGAAAAATGAAAGAGTATGAAATATAAATAAGCTGGCCTAAGGCCATACTTCCCTTAGGATTTTGTCTTTATTTATTTTCTGATGTAACAGACATTGAACAATGTCATTTGCTTATTGGAAAGAGCAGATTAAATCAGTTTGAGGTTACTTTTTCAGATGTACATGAATTTACTGTTTAATGTCTTTTTATTTTGCATGCAATGCAAAGCATTGTAGCAATGCATTTCATGTTAACACTGCATTTTGTCCATATTGCTTCTAATGGAATACCCTAAGGGTAAATTCCTATTGGCCAACATATCATTCAGAGAACTTGGTAATAATTTTGATATGTTGTTTGGATAAAATTTCTTGTAGTATCCCCATAAACTCTGAACACAATTACATATATTATAATGTTATTATTTCAAACATAATTGAAAAAAAATGATTCAAACAGTAGCTATAGTGAGATTTAGATTAAGCTAAAATAATTTTGTTAAATTTTTCTACCGAAGACTCATATATTACACATTCAAATTAAAAAAATGTCCTTTCTTCTGCTCTAACACACCACAATTCTTATATATTTTTTATTTTTATTACATAGACAACACATACACACAACAANGAATGAATGAATGAATGAATGAATGAATGAATGAATGAATGAATGAATGAATGAATGAATGAATTCTCATCCCAAATACCAAGCCCCCACCTCCCCGTTTCGATGGCAGCCAATAGCAAGTGAGCGAAGCAGAGGCCGACATCATGCGCTAAAATAATCCCTCCCCCCAAAATAAGCTCTCCCCTAAAATATTTAAATGCATGCGCAGCTGGTCCCCACCATTTCTTGGGGAGGAAGAGAGAGAACATGCCCTAAGTTCCCGCATGCAGCTGCTATACATGCGGAATGGCCTCGCGGAGGCCGCTCCCACAAACCCTAACTACCGCCTCCCTTCTCTTAGTGGCGGTTGCAAAAAGAGCAGCAGGCTCAGCGACGCTAGGGCTGGCAAGAGTGTGCCAGAAACAGAACTCCCGGCCCTCTCTGGATCAGCTGATCCGTGGACCAAGATGAAGGGGCCTCCTGCACCTCAAAAAATAGCAAGATCTCCAACTTATAATACGAAAGCCGAAGTGTAGAAGCAACACTCTTGGGCTTGCAAAAAGAATGCATTTCTTCCTCTGCTTTTGTTTTTTCTCATTCCCTTTCTTTAAGTAGAAATGAGCCAAAAATATAGGTTGGACATTAATCTTAATAGTGTGCTTTAGAAAAGTTGCTCTGTTTCTTTGCTCCGGCCTAAATGCTTCCGACATAAGGTTGTTTAGCCATTGTCAAGTCCCATTTGGCTTCTTTTGCCGGCTTATAAATGACTTAAATATTTTCTGGAGACAATCGTTTTCAAAACAAAACCAAGAGAGGGGAGGAGTAAGCGAGCAGCCATCCGTCATTCAATGGATTATTTGTTCAAAACAGCCTTCGATTCTCTGCTGTGAAGTCTGAAGGGATTTTCGCAAGCCATGTGCATCCCATAAAGTGCAGCTGGGTTTTAATAAATGGTGGAAATGTACAGCATTCATCTTTTAAGCATTGGAACTTCTTTTACTTGTTCAACGGATTTGGTGCAGGACGTTTTAAAATTATGATAATGCTCAATTTTTTCTTCCGGGGTTTGCATTCCTTTGTGTGATGCTTCATAAGAGACCTTTGATTTGTAACCCTGCAGGCTTTTTCACCTTGGCTGATATTTGCTTGCTTGTCTCCACGTTGCACTTTGTTCTTAGGGGAGGGGTCCTTTTTGTATAGCCTTTATTGTCATTGTACATCATGTATGCAAGGAAATTGTTTGCTTCAGTGGTGGGATTCAAAAAAAATTACNCTGATGTCTGACTCTGAAGGCAGCTGATAACTGTCAGACGGCTCTGGCCCCCCTCTCTGCCTCCGACGCAGAGCCCTCATCAGAGCCTTCCCCAGACTCCAGGACTGGCCCATATTTCTCCCCAACATCCTCACTGTTCAAATCTACTGCCAGCTCTGCTGGCTGCTGGTGGGCCACAACACTAACCACTATACCACCAGGGCTCTTGGTCACTCCCTGGTCAGGCTCAAAGAACATGTTGCCTGTAGGTTCTGCCCATGGGATTTTTTTCCTCCTTGCTTGTTGTCATGTGGCTTTTGACACTGCGTTTGGGTGCATGAATTAAACCATGGCAGGCCAAGGATTGTCAACATGCTGCATTCCAATATATTGTCATGGGACTCTCTTTAGGCCAGATATGCTGCTGCCAGAGATAGCACGGTTCAGTTCTTCTTCTATCAACCCATAAGTCACCAGTGGAGACAGACAGAATTCTTCCCTTGCACAGTAACATGCGGAGGAGGTGAGTAATGCATGTGGCTTTGGGAGCATGTCGAGCTGTGGATGTGAAGCGATAGATATATAGCTTTCAGGGTGAGATTTGTAAGTGATGCAATCAATTGGTGTGGTGCAATAACTCGGGTGTCAGCATTCCAATTATCATGCAGAATTAAATCAGAGTCCAAGGCAGAGCTATCCTTAAAGTTCCAATTTAATAAGACTGTGGATAGCTCTGCCTTGGCATAAACGTGGCACAAACTGTGGAATCTAAAAGCTTCCTGGGATTCCACCCAGTTGAAATTTTATGATCTTATCCCCACACCCATAAATCCATCACATGGTCCAATCTTCTTCGCCCACGCTGGCATTTCCACCCGTCTAGTTCTGCTCAGATGCAGAGGTGCAGAGACAAAAGATGACCTTCAGCTTCTAAAAAGAAATGACAGCAATACATTCCACAATTCTACTCCTTTCTATTCCCTCTCAATTATTACAGTAATGAAACAGCATAATGAAATAATAGAGAGTGTGGCAGGCCAAAGATCTTAAAAAGGAATATAACTGCAGGCCTGACATCGGGTTTCTTCTCTGTCTGCATTTAAAATGGAGAGCAAAAGTCTCACTTTTGGCATGGCACGTATACTACCCTGTATACGTAGTAATCTGTTTCCCTGAAAATAAGACCTCCCTGGATAATAAGCCCAATTGGGGCTTTTGAGCACATGTACCACGCGTGCTTCCATCAATAACCAAGAAAACTCCCAACTCCATTGTTCATGGAATCAAAGTACGTTGACTGGTTATGAAACGATAGCAGCAAAAGTAAAGCAAGATCTGAGCCAGAAAGGCGCGAACAAGTACATATAAAATGATAACCCAGTCCCCTCCCTCCGAT